TCTCTGCACCCTTTTCAACTCCTCTTTGTCTTTGGATTTGAAGGCCCTCCTCTTCTGCTTGAGGACAACTTTAATTTCTGGGGTAATCCACGGTTTGTTGTCGAAGAAACACCGCACAGTCCTGGTAGGTACGGTGTTATCCACACAGAAATGAATATAGTCAGTAATGCATGTCAAAAGGCTGTCGATGTCCTCTCCGTGGTCATCACAGATCACCTCCCACACAGTCGACTCAAAACAATCCTTAAGAGCCTCCTCACTCTCCTCCGACCATCTCTGTACTGTGCGGGTGGCTGGTGGCTCCCTGCGCACTAAGGGCTCATACACAGGGACAAGGTGCACCAGGTTGTGATCAGATCTGCCCAGGGGAGGGAGAGGTAATGAACTGTATGCCTCTTCAGCATTGGCATACAGTAAGTCCAGTGTTCTATTGTCTCTGGTTGGGCAGGTCACATACTGGGTGAAGGTGGGCAGTGTGGAGTTTAGTGAGGCATGATTAAAGTCCCCTGATATTATGAAAAGGGCCCTCGAGATTGTGTTTGCAGTCTGCTGACCACAGAGTGGAGAGAGTCACAGGCTGCATCCGCGTTGGCTGAGGGGGGGACATACGCTGTTATCATGATAACATGCGAGAATTCCCGGGGCAGGTAGTACGGACGCATGCTAACAGCTAACAGCTCAATGTCTCTGCTGCAGAGTTGTTCTTTCACAGTGATGTGCCCAGGGTTACACCATCTGTCATTCACAAACACTGTCAGTCCCCCTCCTTTCCTCTTACCGCTCTCTCTCGTCCTGTCCACTCGCAGCATCTGGAATCCCGGTAGTGTCACGCTCGTGTCCGGAGTTAGCGGTGTTAGCCACGACTCCGTTAGCATCATGATGCTACATTGCCGGTACTCCCTCTGTGACCAGGTTAGCGACGTGAGCTCATCCATCTTATTGGGCAAAGATCTTACGTTTCCAATAATTACAGAAGGAAGAGATGGTCGATAACGTCTCCTTCTCAGGCGACGGCGCTCCTTCCCAGCACGACACCCCCGTCTTTTCTTCCTCAGCTCGCTGGGAATGTCGAGTCTGTCTGCCGGCAGTACCACTGCGGGACGCAGCGCTAACATCTGATCCTTACTGTAAACAAAGGATCCCTGCTCTGGGTCCCCAGACACGGGTGAAAAAAGTAGAAAAAAACTAAGAAAAACAACCAGAACTAGCACAAAACGGTAGAACATGGTTGTAGAGTCTAATTACTAATACGTTAGTTATAAAAATTACGAGAAGAAAAAAAAGGTAAGAAAGAAAGAAACTCAGAATGAGCAGAGCTGCTGTAACAGGCTGCCACACACGGGGGGCGCCGGAAGTAGTAAAATGACGTGCTGAAATGCTCAACAGAAAGGTTTGCAAAAAACCACACACCCAACCTCCCTGTTGATTACGCCAGTGTCAGAGAAATAACATGCAATCACACCCTCATGCAATCACCTGAGGTGCAGGAAAATCTAAACACCTAAACACCATACCATCTCTTCTCTTGGCTCTCAGCGAAGGCGGTCGCATTTTTCTCCTCTCCTCTCCTCTCCTCTCCTCTCCTCTCCTCTCCCTTATCTTCCCTGCTTAGCTTCTTATGTCCTTGTCTAGTCTTTTGTTTTTTGTATTACTTTCCCTGGAACACTCTCTCACAGTCTGTGTCTAAAAC